TTAATTATTCTTAAAATTGTTCTTACTTGTAAAGATACTTATTTTAGCGTTATTCATTTTATTCGACTCAACAGCTGACAGTTTAACAATGTCTCTCGATGTGTCTGTGTTAATAACAATATTTAACATATGAGCCGTTTTTACCGTAATGAAAAGTGGTGATTTTTTAATGTTTATACGAAATTATTTATATTGAGAAAAATATCAGTATCCCGAGATAACAAATACAAGTAAATCTTCTCGAAAGTTAGCGTCCATATTTTTAAACGTGTTCAAACGCAAACCCTTAAATATATTGACTTAAAAACAAAGTGACTTATGCCGCTTTCAAAATAAACGGCTCATATTTAACCAAAAATCGTTTTCGTTAATCCTTTGACACACTTTGACGAGTCTGGCACGTGATTAAACGTTCAACTAAACGCAGGCATGCGATCAATATAAATTGTCTTTCTTCTTCTTAAAAATTATTACAATCGAAAAACTTCTAATCATTGCACCCACGAAGAAAATGATACGGCAAGGATATAAGGACATTAAAAGCCATTTAGACATTTCATAAAATTAATGTAAAACGGATTATATTACGTGAACAGTTTGAAGCGACCGATTTTGTCCGGAGTAAGCTAGGACGCGAGTTTAATTCGGTAGCTTTGTGGTTTGTAGACAGGAGTCAAAGGGACTCGTGTCATTAAGGACATAGAATTAGACATAACCCGGGGATTCAAAAACTTGCGATGGTCAGTCTGAAGTTTGGGAACCTGGGCGGAACGATGGCAGAGATGAGAAATCCAAACCAGATAACTTTCGAACTGTGCAACCCTAGGCCGAGGACAGCCTAAACCTGGAGGTTCCAAGTCTGTTGGACTTTCAGATCCAGAGACCTAATCCTGTCAACATTAGCACTCGGAGATCAAACTCGGATGACCCTTGCCATAGAGGATTTGGATCTTGGAATACCTTTGATTTGGATCTTTAAGTTTTCCTGTCCCTTTTCGATTTCTAAACCGACCAGTGATAAAAAAGAAAAACTGATACGAAGCTGCGATACCTAAGACTGATAATAAAACTGATATTAAAATGCACAAAAGACAGTGTATGAAGTCGAAGATTATGCCAATATCAATCTCATCACGAAACTTTTTAAACCACCTTTGTAACAGTTTGATATTTACAGCGGTTTGCAGAAACCATCGTATTGAATTTTTATCTTCACGAAATTAAAAAGCATTAAATAAATTCCAACGCATAAATATTTTTAATCGTCCGGATAACTTTTGTGATTCACTGTAATCAGATAAACTGATTAACGATTAACACTAGAATTATCAAACCAGTCAAAATGATTTCTAACTTTTTTTTACAGTTCCTGATATTATAAATATGATAAATAAAATATATATTATATATTATATTATACATTATAAATAAAATTTCTAGGTACACTACTTAATTAAAATATACATGATAATATAAATAATAGAAAGTCCAAATAAATCCAATCCTGGCATTGTTATAAAACAATATAAATTAATCGCGTCTAGGGATCGGTAGATCCAGCATTAGCGCTAATAACACGTTACTAATTACAGCTAATTTATAATAATCGGCGCGAAAGTAATTGGGCAAAGAATAATCTGATCGATGATAAACGATTACGACTCGTTTAATTATTACATATAGAGCAGCTACAGAGCAGCTAACGAGTTATAATCGCGAGTCATTAATCGGATTACTTTTTGTCCAACTCCGACGGGCGATTCGCTCGATAAATGTCTTTAAAGCAGTCAGAAAATTACGAGCGTAATCCGCAGGTAAGGCCAGCGCCGGGCGACTGCGCTCGGCTTATTTATCCGGAGAGCCCGGCGCCGGAAAGTATATCGCCCATTCAACGCGCTGAACACCCTAATTACCGGGTTACGGGGAGCATAAATAACCATTTACATTCCGCGCGCACGTCGAAATATGAAGAATTCGGCCGGCCGTTAATCCGGGACAAGCCGGCCGCGGAAAAGCCCCATTAATTTCCGCGGCAGTGAATTCCGGCGCGGAAAAGGCGGCCGACGAGCAGCCGGATCTCTAGCTCTCCGGGGTTGCTCTTTCTCCGCGAGCGGGTCGCGCTCTAGCGCGGGCTCGCCGCGTCGCTGCGCGCATTATGCGACGCGTCACTTTCGTAGCCGACGCAGAAAAGGGCACCGGGTCCAGCGAGAAACCAGAAAAAGACCTGGACGACCGTGGTAAGGGAGGGGGGGGGCGGCGGCGGCGGAAGAGATCCGCGAAAGCGCGGAGCGGAGCAGCGCTCGCGAAGGAGTCCTTTAATCGTCGGGCAGCTGCCGCCGGGACGAGGGAAAAGCGCGCGGAACACGGCGGGCCCCGTGGCCGGCGGGGGAGGGGGAACGGAGGAGGAACAAGCCTGAGAAAAATAATCCAATTTAGCGAGAGTACGCGAGCGAAACGACGGCCCCGCAGTTCGCCTGTTTTCACGGTTTTTAATTACGCGCCTCCTCGCGCCGCTGCCCTCTGCGCGGAGGTCGCACACTTTGTCGTCGCGATCCTGACAAAGGAGCGTGTTTTCATGGATATTTCACGGAGCCGCGGAGAAAGGAGAGAGAGACTGGCGCGACTGCCGGTTTGTTGCCAGCTGACGACTCGACCGATGCGCTTTAACCGTTTGTCGCCTTACCGTCTCGGGTCCTTTGGAAACTTGCCGCGTGTCCTTTTTGCCTCCCGTCCCCGTGTACCGAAGTGTTTCTTTCGGGTTCAACGATGTCGTCGTCGTCGTCGTCGACGTCCTCGGTTAACGGCTAGTCCTGTTCTCTAGCACCGTTTTAGTCGTGCGACGGCGAATCGGGCACACGCGACGAAAGTTTCCGGATTTTTTCCAGTTTCTCTTTGATCAGCGCAAATTCGATTCCGCGACGTTCTTCCTCGAACACTTTTGTTCCATCGAACGATCGCGCGAACGGACTTCGAGTTACGCACTCGCGTGGTTTAAGTCGATATATTTAAGGGTTTGCGTTTTAACACGTTTAAAAATATGGATGCTAACTTTCGAGAAGATTTACTTGTATTTGTTATCTCCGGATACTGATATTTTTCTTATTATAAATAATTTCGTATAAACATTAAAAAATCACCATTTTTCATTACGGTAAAGTGACTTATGCCGCTTTCAAAATAAACGGCTCATTTCTTGGGTGTTAAAAGGCAGCAGACTAACTATAGCATTGTGCTTATTTAACTAAGAATTAAGTACGAAAATTCTTGGATGACATATCTTAATTTTAGGAATTTATATTACCGCCATCTTCGCTTTTGCAAGGACGCGTAATCTTTTCTGCTCAAAATAAGACTTCCTTTATCTCGGGCGCTTTGCTCCAAAAATGTGCCGGAGTTGCTGGTAGGTAGTACTCGAGAAACGCGTGGAGCGCTAAGGGTTAAATTACGTCTAAAAATCGAGTAATATATACATACATATTTCAATATATTATTATATATATTATATATAATATATAATAATAATATAATATAATAATATATAACAATAATATATAAAATATAATAATATATAATAATAATATTTAACATATAATATAATATAATACATATAATATATTATATATATTATACGTTTTAAATATATTACTGAATAGCACGCGAATGTGGAACCGAACCGCTGCTTCAGATTGTACAAAAAGTGCCGGATTAATTTCGATAAGCCACGTTCACTCCGTGACGGAGGAAAATTCGGCAAGTTTCGTTGAACAATGAACATCTTGCCAAGAATTTTTCTTTGTCGAAGCGGCGGAACGCGGGGCTGTGACGTTTTTCGAGACCGTCCGCCGTCTCGAACATTTTCGAAGTTTTATCGTTTCTGCTTGAGGCATTCCGGCGATACGTTGCGACCGGTCGCGTAACACTACGACCTCGGTTTTATTCGCCACAACTTTGACCTGCACGCTTTGAAATGCATCGACGGGTTTGATGTGTTCCTACGAAAGTGGACTTTCCGCGAATACGTACAACGGTGGCTCTCCATCTTCCCCGAGAACCATATTGCTGCTTTTATTATCTCCATTCGATTCTTGGGGGAATTTGTACGCGTCTGCTGGCACAGAGATCGTTCCTTTGTGTATTATTTACGTCCTGATCGGTTGATATCGGATCGGAATAGAGCTTGTAAACTCCGGGACATGTTATTAACGGAACCGATCAATTTATGAAATCAATTTCGAGACGAATCGGTAGACGTACAAGGTACATTATTAAATATTTCTTCACGTTATTTTCTTGCAACGATTATGAAAGCCTCTAAATTGTTGCCATTAGCGACTTTTAGTTAATGTTGATGAAGCAAGAATATGTAATTGAAATACTGCAAATCTGTTACTGTGTTATAAAAATTATTTATATATTCCACATAGATATATGGATATATTCCATAATAATACTTTAACGTTACTCTTTCAATCCGTAAATGTCTGCAAATGTCTTTGCGAGTGCCTCTATTGTTGCTATTTAAAAAAAGAAATCACGTCTTTCGAAACACCGTTAAAATCCTACATTAGATACTCGTAGCCACTTGTTTAAAATAAATAAAAATTAAATTAACGTACGATGCTAAAAAATGTTCATACTACATTCTCTCCCATGTTTTCCTTATTCTGCATTTCAACTCGAACGTAAAAAAATGGCACATGGTAATTTTATCAAGCAACTGTCGAAAAGTTCTTTGATTTGGAACATTGTCGTTTCACCCCATCGCGGGCCGCGACAGGATTAACGCGCGAGATTCTTCTCGGAGGGATTCTTAAATAGCGTGTAACAGGTGGGTCGAAGCCGGTGGCGCGAGCGTGAGGAGCACGAGCGAGAGCGCGCGTGCTCGAGCTCGTGCTCGCAAAAACAAGAGAGAGCCGGTGGTGCCGGCGCGGTGCACACGGCGGCCACGACGGTACAGCGCGGTACATATATAGATAAACGGTGAACAGGAATAAACTCACGTGTCCGAGCTTCTCCTCCTTCCGCCTCTTGGGATCGCCCTCGAGGTCAGGGGTGCGGCTGCGGAATTTCTCGGGCGGTGAAACGGACCGCCTGAGTCTGTCGTCGGTGAGGGCGATCGGCTTACGGTCCTCGGGCGTCTCCGCGGCGGCCCGGTGCTGCTGCAGGTCAGACGGTTTCAGGAGTGCCTGCGCCTGTGCCTGGACCGCAGCAGCGGCCGCGGGATGAGGGGGCGGGGCGAGATGAGGCGGCACCACCGCGGCTGCGGCCGCCGCGGCCGCACCTGCGAACCCCAACAGCCCGGCCGGCGGAAGACCGCCGACCACCGCGCCATGGGGCAGCTGCTGCGCGTGAATCTGTTGCTGTAACATCGGCCAATCGGCATGATCAACCCTTCTTTCACCGGGATATCGACGGCAAGTATCCCAATCATTTCTTAACGATTCAAATTGTTAAAATAGGCGACGCCTACTTGTTCGGTTTATTGCAATTATATTCGTGTACCATTGCGATTTTTATACAAACAAAATACATACTATTATTATTGTATGTAGTATTATTATGAATTATATGAGCCGTTTATTTTTAAAGTGGCATAAGTCACTTTGTTTTTAAGTCGATATATTCAAGGGTTTGCGTTTTAACACGTTTAAAAATATGGATGCTAACTGTCGAGAAGATTTACTTGTATTTGTTATCTCAGGATACTGATATTTTTCTCGGTATAAATAATTTCGTATAAACATTAAAAAAATCACCACTTTTCATTACGGTAAAGTGACTTGTGCCACTTTCAAAATAAACGGCTCGTATGTACAGTAATGTCTCTCTAATTGACGCTCAGATTGTCCACAAAAGTGGACAATTTTGGAAGAGAAGATACGATTGTTCGAGCCTTGCAGCTCGTTTCTATAGTTCTTGACAATTCGAAACTATAAAAACGAACCTTTCCTCAAATTGTCCATTTTTGTAGACAATCTGAGCGTCAGTAAGGGAGACATTACTGTACTTAGGTATTTGTTTTAGAATTCAGTATTCTTAGCACTGATATTACAGTAATGTCTCCCACTGACGCTCCGATTATGCACAAAAATGGACAATTTAGGAACAGGAGATACGATTGTTCGAGCCTTGTTGCTCGTTTTTTATAGCTACCGATTGTCAACAACCATAAAAACGAGTTACAAGGTTCGAATAATCGTATCTCCTCTTCCCAAATTGTCCATCTCTGTACGCAACCTGAGCGTCAGTAAGGGAGACATTACTGTATTAACATACATATAAGCATTTCTTTGAAATTTAACGTTGTTAATCGACGGCGCGCGTCCATCAGAATTATTGTACCGATCGAATGGAATCGTTCGTTCATACGTAAACGTTTGCTAATTTTTGTTGCAGTTGAGGTGATAAATATTCCCGCCATCGTTTTCGTTGCGATATTGGGCTCGCAGTAAATCCTTATGGATATTCTTCGGTACACGAATACAATGCTCGACGACTTGAAACCGATTGTTCCGTTGACCCACATACGTACTACAACATGCAGCAATATGTTACGAATTCCTTTTTAATGCTTCGTACATTTCGATTCTCTCGAAAGGATTACGTTTGTTTGTAGGCTTTTATCGAGCTTTCGTCCGCGTGCATGCTTTGGGAATACTTTGCCGCGCGTCTATATTTCTAGCTCTTACTTCGGTACGATATTCCCTTTCTGAAATCGCGCTTTGTTTACCGTTCCGCATCGCGTCGTTCTATCGAATATACTATTTATTATTAAATAACAGCGAACGAGGAGAACGGCGGAGACGGTTACGGTGGGGTGACCAATTTCTGTGCCTTTTCGGCTAGAATAAATCTTTATATTTATCGAATAATATACAGGATGAGTCTGAAATTAGTTCCCACGATTTTTCAACCCCTTTCGATGGTTTGACAAAAAATGTTCCCCATCAAAGTCAATTAGTATTCGATCGACAATGATTTGTAATTGTTTAAATTTAAAAACAAATTGATTTTAGATGAAAAAATTAGGTCACCGTTATATTTTTAAACGACACTAGGTAATTTTAAGTTCATAGTATTGTAGGGGATGTCGAGACGAATTCGACGACCTGCTACACGATGACATTCGGATGACATTGAAGAAAAATAAATTAAAATATAATAATATAAATTTTGTGTGTTAAGATCTAAGATTGAATAAATGAGCATTTGTAATGCTTACGTTCGCTTGTTTATGTTTACATGCGAGCATTTGTGACTCACTCTGTACATCTAACTTTCTCATTCTTGTATTTTGTTTATTATAAAACAATCTAATATGTCTTATTAGATAAATATAAAGTTAATTGTGTGTTAAAGCGAACCGAAGGCACGGTAATTGGTCATCCAACGTTAACCGGCTCCGCAGTCCTACGACGTGACTATTGACCGTCGAAGCTATTAACTGTCAAGTATTAAAATCATTGCAGAACCGTATTTCCTACGCTTTACAATCACGTTGCGTTTCTGGCGCGACTGTAGAGAGAGAATACTCCGTTTTACTTTTCCAGTGAAAGGATCTTCTAGGTCAAAGCGGCTTTAAAACGAAAAAGGACTCACCAGTAGCTGCTGTAGACCCTGTTGTTGCTGAAAAAGAGTTTCGTAATAGTTAGCGGTGTCAGCGGCCACAGTTTTATTCGCAGAGAATTACGTTTTAACCCTCATACACTCCTCGAGTGAAAGGTTCACCCATTTTCTCTTTTAGATACTGCAAAATATTTTGTTTCTCTTTCGATATTGTGCCGGCGTATTTTGTCAAACTATTAAAAATCGTGAACAAGATACAGTTGTTTATAAAAAAAAAACCTTTATCATTCCTATCACGCTAATAAATAGTACAACATAGATAAAGCGAAATGTCGCGGAGTTAACTGTACATAGAACGTATATATACATATACAGAAAAACTTAAATCATTTTTTAAAAACATATGCCAGTTATTTAAAACATATGTTGGTCATAATTCCATTAAAAACCAACATATGTTTTAAAGAAAATTATTTAAGTTTTTCTATATACAGAATGTACTAAAATTAAGGTGCTTCCGGGAAATAAGGTGTTCCTGAGATCATTTGAAGCAACTTTCTCCTTAGCGAAAATTTAATCCGTGGCTTCGTTTACGAGTTATTAACGAAAAACAGTGACCAATGGGAGGCGAGCTCGCTTAGCGCTAGACGGCCGAGCCAATCGGCAGACCTGAGCTTCGACCGCAGGTTGGCTCGGCCGCCTCGCGCCGGCAGAGCTCGCCTCTCATTGGTCAGCGTTTTTCGTTAATAACTCGTAAACGAAGCCTCGGATCGCATTTTCGCTAAGGAAAAAGTTGCTTCAAATAACCTCGGCAACACCTCAGTTCTCGGAAATACCATAATTTTGGGACACCCTCTATACAGCAATAAAATCATAAACGAGTCGAATTGTCTTCAATACTGACTACCGACCCAGCAAGCCGACATCCAAAGGAATTCATTTCTTTTCTTTCATTTCATTTCACGAAACAAAAATCGAGTATTTGCTATACATATATTATATCGTGTACCGTTTTATATACCGAACATACGAGCGCAAAAATTCATTTTTCAATGTGTTAACTGACCATAATCGGCGCTAGCATCCGCAGCTTATTAGACGGGTGCCAAGTATAATCAGCATTCGTATCCGCAGGTCCCCGCATAGATTCCCACTATAGTAATCAGGGTTAGGAACGAGAAATGATTAAAATGAAAATGGGTGAAAGAGCTACGGGACGTTCTTTTGTACAAACTATGTAATTGTTGAGGAGCGTATAAAAGTTACGAGAGAGTCGAGATCGTCGGGCGAGCAGCCGGGATACGCGTGAAGAACAATTCGGTGAAGAGGATCGTTCGCGCCGACTGCTTGCCAGAACGAAGGAAGTTAATAGAATCAATCGTAGAGAGACGCTCACCCCAATAATAGCGTTTAGCTCGGACGTCGTGACTTGCTTCGCCCTCTCTACGGCATTGGCCACCTGCTGCTGATGCTGCAAGCCATGCTATCATTATCGCGTCGTTGTCACTCTCGATCGTGAGATTGCGCGGCACACGTGCCAAACAGAAAGTCAAAGACTCACCTCTTGTGCCAGGAACGGGAGTAGCTGGACGATTATCGCGTTCAGCCTCTTGGCGATCTCCGTCTGCAACCGTGATGAATGGCCCAATTAATGAAAGAACGACGGGGTGTCGGGGTAGGGGGGAAGGGGGGGCGTGACACGGCCGATTAAGAGAGGAATCCCGAACGGAAATTTCGAAAATACCGCCGGCGAGGGCACCGAGAAGTTTAAGGATCGATAAGCAAGCCGCGCCGCACGGATTCGGGACAGCCGAACTGAAATTCGCGAGGCCACGGCCGCAACTGGAACGATCCCGGATCGCCTAGAAAAGCGCCCGTTAGGCGTTCGACTTTCTCGGATCATTTTTATCAGCTGGCGCAGCGCTCGGAACGCTTCGGAACGCGACATTGGGCTCCGCCTCTTGACTGCCGTCGCAGCGTCTCGTTCTCCGCGCCGCTGCCATTGGCTTGCCGCTCCGCAGCGCCTCGGCTCGCAGCCGATGGAAGCAACGCGGGGAACGAGGCGCTGCGGCGGTAGTCAGAGGGCGGAGCCCAATGTTGCGATCCGAAGCGTTCCAAGCACTGAGCTAGTAGCGCGTGAGTGTGGAATTTTTTCTATTAGCCCAGTATTCGAGTATGCGATTATTAACCTATTGAACTCTGAGAACTCTCTCGGATTAGTTTGCAGCAACCGAATATATTTATATTAATGTATAGTCCTTTAAATAAAATATATTAAATATTCGGTAAACCTTGCGTTTAGGGGAGGCAGCAGAGATGACCTCGGCATTGAACTATGTTGTCTTAATCTTATGTGTGCAATAATTTAATAAAAAGAAATATAATTTTTTCCTAGATTACCGTTTTCGATTACCGAGTTCTCCGGGTCTTCTAGGGAGAATTAACTGCACACACACACACACGCGCGATCTTCGATTAATTTTCAGTATTTTATTCGAAATTATTATTATTTTTTATATGTATATTATTTATATATAATATTATTTTATTTATAATATACATAAATTATTATTCTTTTTTATTATCTTATTCGAAATAAAATTACCGAAAACTAGACAACCAGTAAAATTCATTTCTGCGCGATGGGCGTCGCGATAACTTTCAAACACCGAGCGAAATTATGCTTGTAAACCTTTCGAATTTATCTATCGTCCGTGTCAGGTTAATATATACGGGGAAAATAATCATTCTTGGCCGCGCAGTATTTGCACGTAAAGTATGTCTATAATAAACAGCTATGGCACGGTAAATTTTGGGAGGCCGCCAGAAGCCGCCAGAAATTAACGCGGCACGCGGGGAAACCTTTGCGCCGTCGGCTTCTTTCCGCTCGTGCGTCATTTGAGAGAAAATTCTTCGTGACGCCGCGGCGCACTTAATGCGCGAGGTGGCGCAACTGCGCATTACGCGGGCTCTGTGGCACACGGGGCGTGTGTGTGCGCGCGTGTGCTGCGTCGATTTCAATGGGCCGTAAAAAGGTTTCCATATCGTATTTAAATGCGTGACCGGTTAACACGGTCGGATTGATTGAAAAAAAATACCGAGGGGCGGCCCTTGCGATTGTAAACCGAGCGCGAACAATTCTCGCGGGGGACACCGTAAAAAACGTCATGAAATTCGGGGTTACGTTGCGGTGATTGTACCGCACGTGACGACCGGCAAATGGGCACGTGAGCTCGGCCACGGTTCGGTACGGGCGCGTTTAGTCATTAATACGACGCGCGATCGAATCGATTACACGCACCGGCCATGTGACTTTCCCACAACGACGGCCATTGTGGCGAGAAAAAGAAACCGGCCGCGCGCCGCCGCCGCCGCCGCTAATAGAACGACGTCTTGCGACGTCTTTCCCGCGAGCGGACATTGGCGAGACACTTGAACCTGGCACCGGGCATCTTGATACAATCTGTGCGCTCCCTCTTCGACGCTCGGATTTTCAAATATCAACCGTTATGCTAAATTTGAATTTTAGCGTTTCAACGTTTCATTTAGACTTGAATTTTTTAACCATAGGTTTAAATCATCGACTGTGTACGAGTAGATTAGTATCGTAGCAGTGTAAGCCACATTTTCCATATTGTGAGAAAGAATTATTGTTTACCAATGTTATTGTTTACTGATCAAATTTATTAAGATAATTTACAGTTGAGTTAATTTATGGTAACTTAGATTACCATAAACTTGGATTAGTATCGTAGCAATGCAAGTCACATTTTCCATATTGTGAGGAACAATTATTGTTTACTGATCAAATTTATTGTTAAGATAATTTACAGTTGAGTTAATTTATGGTAACTTTACAATTTATTTCAATTGCCTTTTCGACATATTTGAAAACGGAACGAACATATTTAACAGAACAACAACATTGCCTTTTATTTATAGGTTCGATTGCGTGGAAAAGAAAACTGACGTTTGAAAGTTTCGCCGAAAGAGCTAACTTGACAGCGTTAGAAAGAGACCTATCTGCTCATGACGTTGATTTCGTAACGTTATAATGATTCGGCAGAAATAAATTGCGTGAAAGACGGTAATTTTGCTTCGTATGAATTTATGTAGACGCGAAGTAACTATACGTTGTATTTCATACAACTTTCGGAAACTTCTATAAGAACACGTTTTATAATTTTGTTAAATCTAATCTAAAATTCCACAATTCATAATAAATTAAAAATTTAGGATTTGCTGATTTTATAAGTTATTGTTCTAACTTCTAGAATCAGCGAATCCCAAATTTTCAGTTCATTATGAATTCGTTGTAACATAGAATTTTAGATTAGATTCTATAAAATTTAGGATTTGCTGAATTAGTAAAAGCTTTAGGATTCTCTGATTCTAGAAGTTATTGTTCTACCTTCTAGAATCAGCGAATCCCAAATTTTCAGTTCATTATGAATTCGTTGTAACATAGAATTTTAGATTAGATTCTATAAAATTTAGGATTTGCTGAATTAGTAAAAGATTTAGGATTCGCTGATTCTAGAAGTTATTGTTCTACCTTCTAGAATCAGCGAATCCCAAATTTTCAGTTCATTATGAATTCGTTGTGTCATAGAATTTTAGATTAGATTCTATAAAATTTAGGATTTGCTGAATTAGTAAAAGCTTTAGGATTCTCTGATTCTAGAAGTTATTGTTCTACCTTCTAGAATCAGCGAATCCCAAATTTTCAGTTCATTATGAATTCGTTGTAACATAGAATTTTAGATTAGATTTTATAAAATTTAGGATTTGCTGAATTAGTAAAAGATTTAGGATTCGCTGATTTTAGAAGTTATTGTTCTACCTTCTAGAATCAGCGAATCCCGAATTTTTAGTTCATTACGAATTCTTTGTGTCATAGAATTTTAGATTAGATTCTATAAAATTTAGGATTTGCTGAATTAGTAAAAGCTTTAGGATTCTCTGATTCTAGAAGTTATTGTTCTACCTTCTAGAATCAGCGAATCCCAAATTTTCAGTTCATTATGAATTCGTTGTAACATAGAATTTTAGATTAGATTTTATAAAATTTAGGATTTGCTGAATTAGTAAAAGATTTAGGATTCGCTGATTTTAGAAGTTATTGTTCTACCTTCTAGAATCAGCGAATCCCGAATTTTTAGTCCATTACGAATTCTTTGTGTCATAGAATTTTAGATTAGATTCTATAAAATTTAGGATTTGCTGAATTAGTAAAAGCTTTAGGATTCTCTGATTCTAGAAGTTATTGTTCTACCTTCTAGAATCAGCGAATCCTAAATTCTCAGTTCATTATGAATTCATTGTAACATAGAATGCAAAAAAGATTACTGTAATATAAATCACCGCAATTTCGAATTATTCGTCGTCCTAAATGTCCGATCATCGTGCTCTTAAACGATTCGTTCGAACTCGTGGCAGTTTTATGGCTGCTAATTTAGCAGTCAAAAAATAACCTACCCAAAAATATTAGAAAACACAATAAAGAGAATTAATCGCAGGTATACAGCGTTTCGAAAAATAACGCGAACGAAAGGCCCGCAATCTCAGTGTATATTACACGCGTGTATAACAACGCGGACTCGGTTAATTATGGGTGTCGCGATACAAGGTTTTTACGATGTTGCGAAACCAGTTTTTTTTATTATTTTTTTTGTTAGTAACACCTTGTAGCACGATTCCGTCTGAAAGTAATCGTACATTCGAGGCGTTTGATCTCGCGGCTCGAACGGCGCATTCGACGCGCCGACAGCCTCGACCGGCGCTGGAACTCGTTAATCGGCGAACGCGCTATAAAAGACAGATAATGTATTGCGGACGAAGCACCGGCGTGCAAATAGAGTATTAATTTGTGCGCGGGTAACGTTGTTAGTAAGCGTCAATGCAATTAGGCCGTTGTATTAGCGCTTTGCGATCGACACTCGAATCGCGCACCGATTCCTGTAATATTGATCATTGTACATATTTGATCGTATTCGTTGCAGTTAATTATTCAAACTAATCTATCGCGACTGTGCGATAGAGGACGCGTCTATTGTTTGTTAACTGTGGCTGGACGCGTTTGCGTGTCGGCCTGTTTTCGGTCCGTTAACGTTTTCGGTCTTTGAAACGGCGTTTGAGAAAAACGGCCCCCGTTCCGCGTTCCGCCGTTTAATCCGCGGGCACCGCTAACTAGTCCCATTCGGGACTTATCGTATTAATTATCGTCCGATCGGTGACGAAGCCTAAAACTAATCTACGCGATAATCAATGTCGCGAGAACATTGAATGTTATTAGCAGAGAAATTGTTAAAGCAGTTATCGAGCTCATCGAATCGTCACCGGTGTGCCGGTGATATCGAAAGGTTAATTCGATTGTTTATACTTTAGGTGAATGGTCGAGGAACTGGGGTAAAGTGTAATCAAAGTTTGATTGCAATATAGTTCCGATATGTTAGGTGTAGTGAATATCAGATTGAAATTTTTTGAGAGTTTCAAGTTTACCGTGTCCGAGGAATTTTATGAACTCTGAACACACACAGGTGAAAATTAGTAACTATATTATAATATTTTTTTATATATAATGTTAGTATTATATAACAATATTATAATATTTTATATATATAT